GGATGCAAGGCTACAAGCAAAATAACGGGCACCTCCCATTACCAGCAAGTGCACTCAGAGGTTTTAAACAGTAAAGAAGCTCAGTGCATCGTGCACAATGTGCGTGGACAAGAATGGTGGTAGCACTGCTGTGTGTAGTAGACCCAGACTGGAGACGACTCAAATGCCCATCCATGCTACAGCGGACAAGTGGACTGTGCTACGCTCATTCACACAAAGGAACACTGAAGCAACAAATTGAACTAACTGTAAAATGGCAAGGATGAACTCCACAAACATAATGGGAAGCAAAAGAAGCAAGAAAAGTATGTTTTCACGTATATGAAGTTCAAATTTGGCCAAAACTAATCTATATTGCTTAGGAATACAAACAGGAGATAGAAAGATAGATATACATAGATAGAATATATATAGTGATTATCATGAAAGCCAGGATAGTGTTCACTTTAAGGGAAGAAAGAGAGAGGACTATGATCAATGCTGTACGAGGGGAGAAGGTGGGGAGGGTGGCCCTTTGGGTGCTGTCAGTGTTCTAGTCCTTGATGTGGCTGTGGTTGCACAGATGTTTCCTGCATACATGTTCACTAAAAACATATTTTATCTGCATATTTATGATATAGTTAATAATAAAAATGAAAATGAAAACATTCTCATATAGTTTTTACATACTTTCTGGTCATATACATATATAATAATATTCAACATCTCTGCATTTGCAACTTCTCTCACTTAATAACAATAGAGCATAAAGACTTTCTGAAATCCATAAAAACGCTTTTCCAAGTTAATTTTAAGGCTATATGATTTTGCCAAATAGTATATATTGTAAATACCTAACTATTCCTCATTGGGAACGTCTAGGTTACATCAGTACTCTCTCATTTATGACACTTCTTGTCTCTTTTAATGAGTAGTTATTTTAAGAAATTCTAACCCACACTTTCACACCAAGGCTTCATTTATGCAATGGGAGGAAAATGAAAAGAGTCTTTAGTTAAAGCTCCAGCTGACCCCCAGGCTAGGGTGTGTCTCCCTGTGATTAGCCCTTGTCACCCTTCCTACTTGTCCTTCATGTCGTTTGTCATCATTGTTAACAGTGTAATTAGATATCTGTGCACTTAGTTGTTTAATGTCTATCTCCCCTCCTGGGAACTCCATGAGGGCCCAGACCACGTTTACTCTCTCGACCTCTGAACTCAGAGCCAACAGAAAACCCGCCTGACACAAAGAAGATGCTCAATAAATATTTATCAAAAGAATGAGTGAATGTATGAATGAACAAATGACTTTGTATCCAGTCTATCTGTCCTGTCCACCTTTGAAAATGAGCCCATTTCCTCCAGATAATAGCCTCACAAAATAGACACTACTGGGTAGAGAACACATGACCAGCTGGGAAGGACGAGGGTGTGGACAGAATCCCTTCACTGGTTGTGATTTGCAGTAGAGGTCTCTAAGGTTCTCACACCTCCCAAATCTTGGGGTTCGGTCACTGAGTCAGAGCCAGGACTCAAGACAGAAAGAGTGGAATTTCCTACTTAAACAGAAAGAATTTGTTTCAAAGTAACCGATGAGTTATTGGAAGCCATTTGCTTACTGAAAAAAAAAAAGTAATTTTTAAAACTAATTTCTTTGGTTGCACAAGTAAATGAGCTTCAAGGGAATGAAAAAGAATCTAAACATCTTAAGTGCAAATAAAAGTATTACTAACATTTGAAAACACTTAAAAGATGAATTTTTAAATTATCTCAAAAAACTAGGCCACTGTCCATACTTCATGTTTTTTACAGTCTGAATTGAGAAAGGGTCAAAAAATTGAGTTTTCTCCCCCTTTATTGGACTTAGGGACAACTGACATTTCTTGTTAGAATATAAAACATTGTAACATAGTTCACATATGTTACATAAAATTATTTTTTGCAAAGAGACTCCTCTGGAAAGAGACAGAACTGTGTACAATGGAAAATTGAAAATTCTCCAATATCAAGATGAGTCAGCAAATAACTTCTCCATGACAGCAACCTGGGAACCCTGCTGAACAGACATACCTACTTTAGTGGGAAATCAGCTCTATTTCCTGGCTTGCAGGAACTATGGTCACTTGAAGAACATTTTAGGTGATATGTCTGTGTCTCGGCCTGCTGAAAATTATTAGGAACAGAGCATGATATTCCCAGGACAATATTTACCCACAGGAAAGGATTTGCATTCAGTGGAATGTGATTACATCAGGCCCCTTCATCCCACCCAGTCTTTCAGCCCTTGCTTTCCCACAGGGTGCAAGCTGCTTGGTGTGGCTGCCAGCTTTTAATTAGAAATTCTCATATTTGCACCTAGCTTCATGCTTACACCTCCCCCAAAACTCCCCCCAGAAAAAAGTATTAATTTCCCCCTTGCTCTAAAGGGAAATGCTTTTTCCAAACAAAATTATTCCTTAGTGACACGTTCACTCAAAGAGAGGTGGGGAAGGCAAAGAGGAGAGAAGGGATGGTGAGTTCTCGCCTCTCAGTTCTATTCGTCCAGGAAATAATTTTGGCCTCTCCTGGTGCTCTGTTTGGTGCCCTGATTTCTGAGATGTCACCGCCCACTAAGTTAATCACCTTCCTCGTCTTAACTGTTGGAACCGATGCCCTCTAGTCCCAACGGAATTGGCCTAAGAGCCTGAGTACTAGGGAGTTTCTAGGTCCGGAGGCAATGACACCAATCTGTTTAGTAGCTCCCTGTCTTCCTCCTAACTCTGAATCCATGTAGTTCTTTCAAATTTCATTCAGCTTAAAAATAATTTTCCCTATAAAAATGGCATCGATGGTGGCCAATACCTAGTTTTCTGCGGTGAGAACAGGACCAGCTGGAGTTGAGTAGATGATTGTTTTCCCCTCTGGCAAGCCCAGGGTTAACCAGCCACAGGCCCACTTTTAAGTGTTTTGATCACGTTTCATCTGTCTGCGCAGGAGCTCTCTATTTTTCTGTTAATAGCATCGCCCTCTCTTTGGGAAACTGCCTCTCCACTTCTCTAACCAAGTCGATCTTGTTGGGGCAGAAAGGCCGACTCCACTTGAGTCTGCCCAAGGTTCATCAGGGCTATCAACCCAGAGAAGCCCAAGGTATCAACCCTGAGAAGTTGTCTTATTTCTCTAGCAGGATGTCCAGTGAAGCCTAACTTGAAAACATTTTTACATATTTAAAATCTAATGTAAGTTGAATACATTTTTATGTGTTTACTTGTATAGTTTTTGTGCCGAGGTAGATGCAGAAAATCACCCCGGGACAGATCGTCCTCGGTGTTTCCCTGTAACTCTTGAGTGGTTTCAGTTCAGCAAACTCGACCACTCTCCAGGGAGAAGGGTGTGTTACACATTTCAGTGTCAGAACCACTGGGATGCTTGTGGAGTTCAGTAAGATTAAAGCCCCTCCAATGGATCGAGATGGTCCTGACAGAAGTTCACTGGGACATGAAGAGCCCCAAAGAGGACCTCTTTATGCAAGAAGGAGGAGTCTGGATCAGTGGGCGGGGCTGCTGTTGTGAGGGAAGAGCCGGATGCAGAGGCACAGCTGATGTTACAACCTTCCTTGTTCATCTCAGACCAGACACCCTGGTGAGGTTGGTGTGTTTGGGAAGCAGGAGCTGATCCTCGGCATGTAACTGAAGACAGCCAAAACCTCGGAGCCCAAGGGTGAGATGTGCAGGGCTCACGAGGGCCCCGCTGCCACAGTGCACAAGAGGCAGTGGATTCTGCCATCCACACCAGGGTATCAGTAGTACAGGCTTCCTGGAGCTTAAAAGCTGGAACAACCTATTTAGCCTGAACAAGACTCAGGTTTCTATACAATTCAAGTTGTGGGCAAAGGCTTCAGGAGGAGGCACCAAATTTCCTGCTGATATGGGCAGGTGGAGAAGATTGTCCAACAATTAATTGAAACAAAAATGTTCCAATTAGGGGCCAGATAAGCACCTAAATCCATCAAAAGGATCCTAACTAGTGACAATTCCCACACTCACCTCTATATCCAAATGTTCATTCAAAAGATCCTTTTTAAAATATTCACTCTCTGTCAATGGTATAAGAATTGGAAAATAGAGGGTGCCTTTGTATGGCTGGTTTATCAGTAAGGAGGTACTTGCAGCAGAAACTGAATGCACATTACTAGAAACTGTTTATACATCGCCCTCCATCACCACAATTTAACTGTGTCTATCACTTCAAGGTTAAGGCTGAGTCATTTCCATTTCTATTTTAGTGAAGATATATTCTATAAATGAAAAACTGAGACCTGAGAGGACAAATACGCAAAATCAAAACTTAATACTTCAGGGTACTGTTGTTTCAGCAGGGTGGTTTATGAGCATAAACCCAAAAACTAAACTGTCTTGGTTCAAATCCCAGCTTGACCACTTACTAGCTGTGTGACTTTGGGATAGTTACTTGAACTTTCTGTGCCTCTCCTACTCATAAAATAGAGATAATAATAGTGCCCATTTCATAGGCTTGCAGCGAGGATTAAATGAGTGAAACATATAAAATTCTTGAACAGTGCCTGGCACAACAAACACTCACTAAAGTTTAGCCAGTATTATTACTATCAAACATATTTGCTGACACAAGATAAATAATTGTATTGAAATTGATGATAACAAAAGCATACATCTATTGTTTTTGCTGTCCCCCCAAATCCTCCTTATTCTGGTAGTATCACCTTTTTTTTTTTTTTTTACTTTGTGGAAAATTTTAGTTAAGAGAAGGACACTTAGCCAAGTCCACTCAACAAGACATAGCCCAGTGAGTTTGTTGTCCTTTTTGGGAAATGGAGGATCTCTGCTAGAATGACTAGCTGGGAGGATAGTGTAAGACTGAGACTGCCCAAAGCTGCATCAGAGACCTACCTACAGGTGAAAGTATCAGAGTATATGGTATCTAACACCAGTTGCAGTAGGTGTCCATTGCTGCATAAAATATTATGTCAAAATTTGGCAACTTCACACAACACATATTATCTTACACAGTTTCTGAGGGTCAGGAATCCAGGAGAGGCTCAGCTGGGTACCTCTGGCAGTCAAGTGGTCATCAGGGGCTGCAGTCACCTGAAGGCTTGACTGTGGCTGGAGGACCCACTTCCAAAATGGCACACTCACGCGGCTACTGTCAGGAGACTTCAGTTCACTACCATGTGGGCCTCTCCACAGTGCTGTCCACAACATGACAGCTGGCTTCCCCTACAGTGAATTATCAGAGAAAGGGAGAGAGAGAGAGAAAGGGAGACACTGAGAGACAAAGACACTAAGAAGGAATCCAGTGTTATTTATAAGCTAAACCTGGAAGCAGCATATTATCACTTCTGCCATATTCTATTGGTCACACAGACCAACTCTGGTACATTGTGGGAGGGGACCACACAAGGGTATGACCAGAAGGCAGAGATCACTGGGGGCATCTGAGAGGCTAGTTACCACAATATTAGAATCAAGATAGGGAGGTGGAGACTAAGGCTTAATGACACTGCTTGAGCCCCTAGAACATCCATGCCTTATGTGAATCAATAAATGCCTTAAGTCTTGGGCTAGTTTTTTTTTTTTTGATCCATTGCTACCAGAATGTTCTTGACTAGTACAAGGGGCTAACTTTGTTGATCACATACTCAATGCCATGCAATGTGCTAAATCCTTTTCATGGATTATCCCATTTAACACTCATGACAACTCCATGAGACAGGGACTATTACTACTATTTTGTTGAAGTATATTTGACATACAATATTGTGTTAGTTTCAGGTACACAGTATGGTGATCTGACAATAAAGTACATTACAAAATGACACATAGGAACTATTATTTTTAACCTTCTTTTCCCAGATGAGAAAAGAGAGGCTGAGAGAAGTTACATGATTTGGCAAAAATCATGCAGCTGGTAAATGGTAGATGCAAGTTTCAAATCCAGGCGGTCTTACTCTGGAATCAGCTCCTTGGACACAGAAAAGGTTACTCTTCATGCATTTCTCCTCTGGATTCAGTTTGAGATCTTTTCCTATGAGACGAGCTCTGAGCTTGGATTTTCTTGTGGAGTGGCTCACACGCAAGCTGAGACTAGGCTCACTCCCACTGAGAATGGGGTCCATAGCTCAGGACAAAAGCTGCCTGAATCACAGGAGAGAAAATGTTACCCTGCTAAACCATTCTCACTGTGGCATCCATGGTGCATATTCACCAGAGAGCAGGGCCAGCCAGTCATCCAACACCAACCCAAAAGATGCCTTGTTTCTGACCCCAGTAACTGAGGACACGTGTTCCTCTGCAAACAGTACTGATGGGAAATGGCTGATAGTTCTTCCCCTCTGAAGACTGGGAAATGAGAGGGAAGAGGAGGGGGCAAGGGAGGAGGCTGAACATGTTCATTTTCTTATGTTAACAACTCTAAATGATTAAGGGTAAGAAAGGAATGGCAACAGAATATAAAAATGCTTTGTGTACAGTTCACATTGACTCGCGCCGCTAACTCCACTGTGGTTTATTAGTTCATGGGAAAAAATGACAAAAAGGAATAAAAACCTGACTATGTATCCAGTATCAACAATTTGCAGCCATAGTAACAAAGAAAGTGCAATTCATGAATTGAAAAAAGGGAAAAAATAAGTGTGTGCGTGTGAGTGTGTCATCAGGAGGATGTCAGGAAATGGTTACTGAGTGAAGAACGCACTTAACCCCTTGAGGCTCAGCAAGGCAGCTCTGGATAGGCTGTGTACACGCCTGTGGCTAAGACTGTCCATCAGGCGTTGACAGACAAATTCTAACCCCTGTTTGACAGACTTTCCAACTCGGCTGTAAAAATTCACTCAAGGATAAAACAACATAAAAAGGCTCCGTCTAACAAAAATTCCTTTCTTTTTTATTTTTAAATTCAATTTGGTTTGCATTATTAGTTCAGCCCAGATTCATTACAGGAAGACAAAATGGTGTGTGGCTTTTTGTGTTTCCACAGCTAGGTCTGGAATGACTTGGAGCCACCTTGTGAATACAATTGTGGATAAAGTACAGCATCCCAGGGTTCAGAACCACAGCCCAGCCTCTTCACCTTCGGGATATGTCATTGGTTTCTTATTTGTGTAGCCAGAGGCCAGCAATATATTGCTCCAGGACCTTGGAAGGGAATTCAAGCAAATGCTAGTAGGTTTGGAGGTCTGGGGGCAATGACCCAGATGGGAGTTGTGGGCAACTTAGGAACCATCCAGTTATCAATCTGGGGGCTGGAAGCATCTTTAAGGGCCATCTAGTCCAATGAGCCATGTAATGCTTGAATTCTCCTTTTCCCCTTAAACTTTGTGCCATGCTCAGACCCCACCCTTGGGAAGGAACTCTTCTCACCTTGAGGCAATCCATGTAGTTTTGACTGCAAAAGACTCAATTGAGCAGAAATCTTTCTCCTTGTAACTTACCACCCACAGCCCCTTCAAGAAGGTTGAATAGTCACATATTTGAGAATGGCTTTTCTGTCCTCAGAAGACCTCTCCAGTCTAAACGCAAAGAGTTCTTGATCATCCTGTATTTAGCTCTTCTCCTGAACACCTTCAGAAAAACTCCTAAAATATAGTCCCTTAAGAGCTCACTACTCAATGAATAATCTGTCCAGGGAAGAGAAGTAATGTCATTATTAGCTCCATCATTCTGAGATTTTATCTCTATTAATGTAGCCCCATATTTACATGTTTCTAAGAGCTTTATGGTATTTTGGACTCATAATGAATTTACTTCTCATTAAAATTTATGTGCTAGGCCAATTAACAATACTTCTGGTCATTAATCACCAATTCTGCTCTACTCCCCAGGTCCATGGGAGGAGCACATGCCCCTACCCCTTGAAATTAGCTTTGGTCATATGATCAGCTTTGGCCAATGAAAAATGGGCAGAGGTCTCATGTCAATTCAAGGTCGAGGCATTTAAGTACTGATTCTCAAGTTCCCAGCCCACTTTTTCCTGTCAGATCAATTGTCAATGCACGTCTTGATTAGGAAGTGTCATGGATTGAATCAAGCTGGAATGTTGAGCCAACACATGGAGGACAGATGCCCTGGCACATGGCCTGGACATACAGCACATTTTGAGTGAAAAACAAACTTTTGCTGCATTATACGTAAGATTTGGGGATTATTTGTTATTGCAGTATAAACTAAACTTTCCTGACTCACTGTATAAATTTTTTTTCATAAGTAGAATCAGATTTCCCACCCTACACATTCCCCTACACTACTCTTCTATATTTTAGCAGAACTATATTAATATTCTGATTCAGGGACTTAACGTTTTTCTTCTCATGAAAATTAGTTTTAATCATTTTAGTCCATTTTAGTTCTATCAAAAGAATTTTTTTTTGTCTTTTGATTTTGTCAAAGGTATTCATTCTTCCCACCTCCCTTGCATTTAAAACTGATAATAAATATTTGAGGACTGGGAAGGAGACATTTCTGACAACATACTTTTCTTAGCTCTCCAGACTCTATTCTCACGGTTAATGTTCAGCCCTAGTGAAGACACTTCCAGGCTTTCTGGACTCAGTGCAGAGGTTAAAAAAAGTCACTGGGGATCAGTAATCATTGGAGATCTTACTTCTATTAGCTCAATAAAATTCCAGTAGTGAAGACAAGACAGAACTATGGGGAAATTATATAATGACTTCACTTTATTCAACTATAAAATCATTCTATTTTGAGCACTTTTGGGGGGACTCTAATGATAAATAAGACTCTACTACTATTCTCAAGGAGCCTAACACACAGACGTGTGAAAAGGTTTGCCTGAAATCACGTTGCTTACACAGAGAAGCATCTCTAGCAACACCATGGTGGAACACTGCTGGGGGTGCACCCAGTGGTCATCCCCCCAAATCCTTTCACGTGAACCAAACCTTGACTTCGTTCAGGTATCAGGAGTACATGGGCTTTAGGAAGTACCGGCCTCTTCCCCCTAGAGCAGTTACAGGAATTATACTTTCTTTTGCCAGTCTTTGGTTTGGGAATGGCTATGTAATACAATTTTGGCTACTGAGATGAAGGTGAAGTCAACAAAGAAGTTTCTGGGAAAATTTTTTTCACTCTCAAAAAGGGACACCAGGAAATAGGGCCTCTCCCTTCATAAGTATGAACATGTGAAAACATGGTGCTTAGAGCTGCCTCACCCATCTCTCATCATTAAAGGATAAGCATGAGGGTAAAAACTAACACAGTTAGACTAGCAGGTCAGAAAAGGTGGAAAGAACTGGGTTCCTTATTACATAGCTGAAGTGCTGAATTAACCCGTCCAGGAACTGACTCACCACTCAACTTCCTATGTGAGATAATATATTTCTTTATTACCTAAACCGTTTTGAGTTGAGTGGGTCTTTTGTTTCTTGCTGTTGAAAGCATCCTGATTGCTATTATCATTAAGATTTAGATCATTACAATATTAGCATGTTGTTTTATAAAAAGTAGAATCATCATAGGATGAGCAGGAAGCCCGCAGAGTAGTAGCAGTTATAGCAGAAACACGATAATACTGTCAAGTTATGAGAACCGACTTCGTATGAGGCACCATGAGAATCCTTTCAGATAGTGTTTTTCCTTTAGTCTAATTCAAGACCACATCTCATACATTCTGGGCTCACCGTGTCACTCTGCTCTGTCTCGTGTGCTCCTTTATACCTGGACTCTGACATTCAGAGAGACCAAGACACTGCGTTGTAGGTAGTTACCACGGTGCAACTCAGCACCGGTCTCAGTCCACTCACAGAGAAGGTACAATGCTGCATTCCGCTGGTGCTGTCACTGGGTTGTTCCCACTGGGATTTGCTGCTTCTGGTGCCTGATGGAGAAAGATGAGGTACAACAGCAACACAAATTCTTACAGGCCTTAATGGTGTCTGGGCACCTGAACTGAGGTGCGCACTCACTTGCCAGTGTCAGAGTCTTAACTCAGGCCTTCCAAGTTGGTCCCTGGGAGTAAGGAGAGAGAACCCACCACTGCTGCTTCATATATCCCCCTCCAGGCGGACACAGCTGCCAGGGAACTATGGCACAGAGAAACATGGGTAAACAGGGCGCAAATTGCTATTTACAATTTTCCTTCCACATTTCAGCAAGGAGGCCATCTGTAAAAACAGAACATTCTCAGTGTCATCACCCAAGAAAAGAAAAACAAAGGCATGCGGGCATTTGGGACGATGCTTCCTGGCCCTCTTGTCCCATTCCAGCTACTCTAGACCCAGTAAATAAATCGCTCTTCTAATTGGTCGTAAAATTCCAGCTTGGAAACGGTCATGTTTGTTTTCTAAGAAATGGCATTCTAGTGCCAGAAGTCACCACCTCAGCCACTTTATTCTGAGGGAAATGGGAGTAAGAAAAAGGAAAATGAACACGGAGCATGTAATAAATGTAAACAAAAAAATTAATCCCTGGTGGTTGCTAAGTACTCTCCGTCCCGAATAGGCACAAATACATAAAGTGAGGCCTGGTTTAATTTTAATTGTATGTTTAATTAAAATAAGAATAAATATGGTTAAAAAATAGAGAAAAGCTTTAAAGCAATAGTTTCTCCCTGTACCCTTCCCATCCCCCCACCGCCCCATGCCCCAGGGGCAAGCACTCTGACATTCATAATCTTGGGTAATGAGCAAAGATTTCTATTTCTTGATCTGTTAACTCTAAATGATACCAATTTACTCTTAAAGTGATGATTTAGCTCTTTAATGTGACTCTTCACCTTCTCTCCCCCTTATCCTCCTGATCTTCACTAATTATATTACTACTTTCAGCTTTTCCATTGGCTTCCTTTGTGCCTTTAAGTAACACATTTATATCACTATTTCATCCTCCCTCAACCTTAGTCAATGTTTCAGCACCTTTTTATAATGGAATCAACTACAACTACAGACATAATCTTTGCATTACCAAAGCTGTTAACATTTCTTCATACCCCAGTGCCAGGCATGTGTGCTGTCTATTAATTTTAAAAGATTAAAGTGAACACAAAGCGTTTATATTGTGAGTACATATTGCTCACTGCTGAACTAAATAGCAGACTAAAGATTGCATTTTCTTCTCGAAAGGTCTTCTAGGCTGTGTAGGGGGAAATAGTTTTAGTATCAAGGCCAAAAGGATTCTTTCTTATACATTATCAATTGCTTAAAATCATACCTCGTCATTATTTTTGTCATGTTTGGGCAAGACTTACTTGTCTAGGTTTTTGTTTTCCCTGGAATTTATAATGGCTTTTGCTTTTTTTCTTATTGGCAAAAGAATAATGTGCTTTGATAATTTCCCCAAGTTTTATTCTTTTTTTTTTTATATCCCTTAGTTGTGCCTGCAAGGCTGACTCTGCAAGCTGTGCACCCTCTGGTTTCATGACTGACATCTGAGACCCCCCTTTTTCTGCACTCTTGGGTTGAGCCTCAGTTTCCTGAACCCCATGTTTCTTCTTTCTTAGTTTTCTTTCTGATTTATTTTCTAACATGCATCCTTAAATAACTTCAAGCAAGGATGCCCTTGCCTGTCTGGGAAGATCTTGATTTTAACCTCACACTTACTGGAAACTTTGTCTGAATTCAAGATTCAAAATCCTCAGCCTCCCACCCGGCCTTGAAACAATTTTCGTAGGCTGAGTTATGAGTACACGTCCATAAACGTTATCTCCCCAAAGTTTCATCAAAAATGGAAAGGTGCAATTTCAAAGAAAACCTCCTTGTGTTTCTGACTTCTGCCCTGTCCATTCATGGAAACAGGTGGTCCAAAGATCGCAGGGAACTGCCTCATCTAACAAGCCATCTTCTGGCTGTGAGCCAGCAGTGGTGACCACCCTTGAGTCTGCTCCTTGGCTTGGGAAGCACAGGTCACTTTGATAGGCAGGAACTGCAGGCCCTGGGGAATTGAGGATCCTGACTGGGATGGGAGAGAAGAGGGAGCCGAGGAGGGTCCGAGGAGGAGCAGCAGCACTGGGCTCCAAAGACGAGATGTGCAAGAAATGCAAGGAGGAGGAGGGGAAATATTCAGGAAGCGTATTTCCTTTCCCTCTCCCTTGTCCTCCAGACCTGGAATAGCTATGTCACTGCTTCTGGTTCTTCTGCGGGCTGCCTTTGTGACTTTATCTAACACATTTATATTACCATTCAGAGAAAATCACACTGATGTTCAGAAGGAAAAGCAGAGGGTTTGGCCTATCTGTGGATTGATTGGGCTAATATTTTCAAAATCATATTACTGAAGTCTGACTGACATGTAAAAAGCTGTACACATTCAAGGTATACAACGCGATGTGTTTGGGAAGAAATATACACCCAGGAAAGCACGACCACCATCAAGGCCATAAAGGTGCTGATCGTCAGAAGGGAGGGTGTGGGTGAGAGGGAAGACATGGCTCAAAAGAGCACACCTACCATTTGTGTGAGGGTGCCTGGGGCAGGCAAGGAAAATTGAGGTCTCAAAGGGCTTCAGTTCCTTCTCTACGCTCCACAGAGAGGCTCCAGGGCCTGATGACAGACACGACGGGTGCCAGAGCCTTCTACCTCCCTGCAGGGAACACAGAGTGCCCAGCGCAGCCAGGATCCAGAGGTGTCTGCTGTCACGTTGGCACCTTCAGGGTTCTAGCTTTGGGAGCACCTGGAAATAGCACGTTAGGGAGGGAACTGGTGCTCTCCAGAGGGGCCAGGGCTGAGGCAAGGTACCTCATTTAGTGGCAGATACCTGTGAGGAGGTTCGAACGGACAACCATCAGATCTAGGTGTGAGCACACGTGAGGTCTCCCTGGAGATGCCTGGGGAGGCTGAGGTCCTGCTTCGTGCACATGGGGCTCCAACCCTTGAAATCTGAATCGTGACTGTTAGCTCGGCTCTGTACCTGCAGCCTGGGGACAACCGCGGGTCCATGAAGCCAAGTTGATAAGGCAGAGAAAACAAACTGCTGCTTTACAATTTTTAAAGGGCCCTCCCTGGTTGGAAACCACGTGAAGCTGGTCCAACTTTCACAGTTCAGTCCCCAAATCCTCATTTTGCAGACTGAAAGAAGAGTTGAGGGAGGGAGGAAGGGAGGGAGGAAGGGAGGGAGAGAATACGATTTCTTCTCCTTTCTCCCCCCATCCCTTTACTTCCCCTAATATGAGAAACAAATAACAATTTGCCCAAGATTTTCATTAGGGAAAGTACTCTCACCCTGCTCCAAACCAGGTTTTCTGTGTGTAAAGGAGGAAGTACATTGTTTGAAATCATGTGGAGAGACATGAATTCAAGTGGAGAAGTCAAACTCAGCTTCCAGAGCTGCAGAGCTCAGGGGGAGGACCACGATCACCCAGTAAAACACTTTCTAGACCCGGTGCTCATTCTTCTTTCATTCACCTGCCCCCTCCAGTAAAAGAGAAAAAGTAAATAAATGGGACTCTGTAGCTACATGATATTGGAGAAAGCCTATCAGTGGACAAGAGAGGTTGAGTGCTGGAATGGAGAGTACGATGAGAAATGCCCAACCCCTTGAGAAGATCTGGAGGGCAGTAGAGGGAAAAAGACATTTTGCTTTGAGTTTAAATCTCAGCATTGTGAGATTTAAACAGAGAAGAGTGGCTGGAGGAATAAACACAAAAAGGAGAACCAGGATGAATAAGGGAGAATGGCACTCAGGAAAGGAAAGGCTGACTCCAGGGAAGGGAGGTGGGAGTGAAGGCTCCGGCGAGGAAGTGCTGGGTGGGAGGGGAGAATGCCCACGGGATGGCCGGCAGACAATGGGGAGCTGAAGCAATCCCAGCAGTGGAGACGGGCTGGGTGGGAGTGGACCAAGTCAAGACACTTAAGTGTCCATCCGGGGAGAGGCTGGGAGGAGGCGAGAGGTTGCAGAGGAAAGGCTGGCCGGAGTCCAGACCGCCTCACCCCCGGGGCTGTGAGCAGTGACTCACGGCTCTCGTGGAGGAGACTTGCCACACAGCCCCTGGGCTGCACAACTACTTGAAATCATCAAGAAGCTTAGCGCATGAAGAACTTATCGCAAAACACGAAGGGTAGAGCCAGCTGTTGTTGCCAAATCTGTGTGATTAATGTCATAGCAGTCACCTCTCAGCCCTTGGTGTCCACCTTGTCCTTGGCAGCTCATAGTCTCTCAGGCTGGTCTTTTCTTCTCCCACTCCAAAGCCCTGTGGCCCCCTTTCCTCAAGATCGTTCTCTGTGGAACTGGAGCCTCCCTTCACCTCACCTCATAGAAATTTGACCAAGTGGGCAGCGACGTTTGCATGGGGAGAAGGAGTTTACCAAAATCTTAGAAGACGGTATCTCAGCCTTTAAGGGACTACGTAAAAGGGAGGTGAGATACGATACAGTAACACTCTGGAAAGTAGAAGTTGTGGTCACAGTTTCCAGCCATGACAAGTCTTCAAAGGCACCACAGTTCCGCAGACAGACAGCATCTCCTTCTTGCTTAGTCCCAGTGTCACTAGTCACAGAATGATGGTGGGGTGAGGACAGGAGTCAGGTTGAACTAGATCAGAAATGGCTCATAAGCTTCTTCTTGCCTCTTGGAATATTTTCCTATGATGCTGCTGCGAAAGGGATTCTGAGTCTGCACCACGCTAAGTGGGAAAGGGTAACAAGGCTCAGCAGGAACAATAGCAACTTTTTGAGTATTCTGTGACAGCTGCTGTTCTAAGTGATTTACGTGCATTATCTCATTACCATGCCATCTTGTAGAGAAGGATGACGAGTGGCACCTGTCATGACTTTGAGAAAAATGAGACAGTGTAGGGGCTGTGGGTTTTTTGACTTCTGCATCAAATAATCTCTAAATTCTCTTTTTTCTTTGAATACTCTAATGATATATGAGCGATCTCAGCAGTGATCTGTCTTAGATTACTGTCCTAACAGGCATCCCTTCCTGCCACTACCCCTTCTTTCCAGGATCCTAAGAGCTTCGGCTTTAACTCACTGAAGCAGTCACAGGCTCTGCAGCAACTTTCACACAGCCAACCTGGGAGAGATGCTGCCACCTGCCTTGCTCTTTCTGCAGCCTCACGTAGGTGCACAGTCACACACACTCCACTGGTTGTTCAGAAATTCACCATTTTCCCAGCGCTTCCAGAGACCTGAGTTTGGCGACCACCCTCTGCTCTGTGGCACGTGACTGGTGGAGACGTCCCTCTTCCTTAAAGTCCCTTCTGGCACATGCTGGGATTCATGACCATAGGTTAGAGGTCATCTCTGTCTCCACAGCACTGGGAGGATACTGAGAAAAGGGCAGATCATTTTCCTCCTAAATTTGCATCTTGTATGCGCGCCTCCAGAGCCATCAAGGTTTTAAGAACGATGATGATTTCCTTGGTGAGATACCTCTTGTCCCTAGCACTCTAGTGTACGTATTAGTGGCAACTTTAAAAGTATATAAAATGCGTAGTTTACCCAGTTCTTTCATACAATTAGCTTATTTTGCTTTTCATCCTCACAACAGGTTAAGCAGGTGTAATTAACTCCATCAACCCAAGAGGATATCAGGTCTTAGGGAGTTCAGACGATCCTCACACACAGCAGGACAGAAGCAGAGCCCAGACTGGCATCTGGGGCCTTTGACGGGAGGCCCACAGAATTTACAAGAGCAGGAAGTTGGTGGAAACTTGGAGAATGAATTGAGTAAGGGGATGGGCAGCTAGCTTCACTGTAGGTCACCCCCATCCCTTGCTCTGAATAGGATCCAGGAAGCTTGGGTTCAGAGGCAGGTCATGGGAATAAAACTATAATTACCAAGTGAAACAGCTGTTGAAATGAGCCGCAAACGTTTTGGCTTCCCCTTCCCTTTCAGAACTCTGTATGTGAGCGGTTTCCAGTCTGTGTCCTGAAGAGCCTTTGAGTTCGTGAAGTTTCCTCGGGGTTAGGATGACAGCACGGTGGGCCATCTCCGCAGAGCCACTCTCATCTGCTTCAGATACTGGGCATCTGCATGAGATGTAATTTGAAGGAAAAACTTTCCTCTACTTAGGAAACATTTTGAAAATCATCATGAATATTTAACTTCTTCCCCATTTGGTTCCCTGGGACAATCTGAGTAATTTACTGACACAGGGAGCTAGGATCTGGGCATAATGACCAGGCTTAAGATAAAGGATTTAGAAGCCACAGGGATGTGGTCGTCCACAGTCAAAGGAGGTGGCCCACCAAGTCTGTGATGGTGGGAGCTCTGAGTTGAGCAGGACCTTGTCAGGGAATGTGTGCGGTGCAAATAGGAACTGAAAATGGATGTAGGGGATCAAATTCCAGGTTTTTCTCATACCTACACCAGAGTTCTACTAGCTTCTAGCGATCCAGGTTGGGCTTCACCCCCAAAAGGCTTGATGCACCAAATTCAACTGCAAATACCACCAACCACGTTGAATAGAACCGAGTGTTGTCTTCTAAGCATTCTATTTTTTACCTGCCACTTTCATAAATGTGTGAAGTCAATTTCAGCCCTGTCATCTGGCTAGACTTGCTGAACTCCATACATTCTCCTAGCAAGCCTGTCTCATTTCAGGTTAGGATTTAGGACTAGGTAAAGAATTAGAAGCAAGAACAGATAAAGGTGGAAATTTGATATAAAAATGACTAAATTAATCACAAGCTATCATCATCAGTATCCTGAACCTGTTAGAGAAAGAGAAAGTCAACAAAGTTTTTTTTTTTTTCCCCACTGCAAAGGAAAAATCAGAAATCTTGTCAGAAATAACTCTGGGGATTCTGAAATAAAGACATTTCAGAGGCATGAAGGCAAGACTAGCGGTGCAATTAAATGCTATCCTTTCCTTGACCCCTGGTATCATGGAAACAACAGCTGATATACAATATTACCTCGGAGAGGAGGAAAAGACCTTGCAGAGTTTAATCCTGGATATCCTTGGCCTGGGGTTCAATACCGAGGTGGAGCGCTGGCCTGCGCAGGAGTCGTGCACATTAATTCCCGAGCACTGCAACCACTCAGCCTAAGTCATCCCCTGGTAATTACATTCCCCAAGGCAGTGCCCTGGAAGCACTGTTACGTTAGGCAATTGTGGCGAGCTGGTAATCTGATAGCAGCACATTATGTAGTTATGTGGGAACTCTGGTTTCTGGAACGGATTGAGGTTCCCAAGCTCTGGTCTTGTGCCGATCGGGTGTGCCTTTCACGAAATACACTTTATGTAGAAAACAGACTAAAATACTGACACCATCTTTGGGATGTTTTTCAACAGCAGCATGAAACTAATCCATTCTTGTCAAAAAGGGAAAAGGTTGCTGAAAACAATAAACAGCTCCCTTCTCTGTCTGACATTTGTCACCTAGCTTGTTAAAATACTGCCCTTCTAGGTAAGCTATATTTTTTTTATAAATCAAAATGCAGTAAAAGAATGATCTATCATTGATGACAGACGAAACTTCGGCTCTTATTTCTAAAAGGACCCACTGAAGTTGATAGAAAGGCTGAGAGTAACATTTCAGATTTAATAAAAAGCTCTTCAGCTTTTTTTTTTGATGTTAGGAAATTTTAATTGCTTTAATTTACTCAATTACTTGATCATATCAGTTTGTCCTAAACTTCATTCATATTCTACCCTCAGAATTTCTGCTACATCCCAATACCATCTGTACTATTATGTTTTATTTTTAAAATCAGCTTGTTTTTAAAAAGCAGCCTTGCCCTAATTAATACTACATGTTGTAAGATGAATTTGATCTGCTAACGAATGGGTGAGGAAAGGCAATGAGGGTTTATGTCCCAATTTTCATGCTTGTAATAAGAACCAAATTCCCTGTGCCCTAGTCATCCACCCCTTACAAATGTGACTTGGAGAAAATAGAAAAGAAAGGAGAAGCAGCAGAGTAGAGCATCTTCATTATTCAGCCTGAGGGACCTGTGTTAGGTACTCAGGAAGGGAAGGAAAAGGAGAAAGTGGATGTCACGTCCCAGTGGCAGCAACACTGTCCATTTGAGCCTGACAGGCTGTACTCCCATGTCTCAGAGTGAGGATTCAGATGAGTTATGGGGATTTGGCTCCACTCACCACATAGCCTTTAGCTTCCCTCTAGGGCCATGTTGGGGGAACTGGAGAACATGGATTTACAATGACCAGGTGGAAATGAGAGCTTGGGGAAGAGGAGGAGCGGACAGTGGAGGGAAACAGGCATATGATGTGTGATAAGTGATGCCGCATCTTAGGAGCTTCCAGAAATGAGATTTTAAAGATTGAGATGATGTCACTTCAGAATTATTGGCCAACAGCCTTCACATAAAGGAAATCTCCAAAGGAAGGGAAATGATCATTCAGGTGTCTGCATTTTTACTGGAGGACATTTCCAAAACCACTTTCAATCACAGGATATTTTCTTTTCTGACATATTAGTTGAATTTTTAAATTTTCTCATTTAAAATCAGCATCCCAATACTTATATTTTTTATCAAACCCAGCGTGCTGCTATGCTTGGAGCTGTAAACCCTGGCCCCACTGTGCCCTAAGAGACCTTTTTCAGCTGGGAGAGGCAGGCTTAGGAAGCCACAGAAGTTCCAAGTGGCTCTGACAATGTCTAGTGGGCCACAGTGGAGTCTGATTAAGGATAGCTCAACCATAGGAAGGCCAGTGACCCGTGGTTTGGTGAGAAAAGAGAAACTGGTCCAGTCAGATTCCTTTCTTGAAATGTTTGGATTTGGGAAACTGAGATATTGACTTAGCTGTAAAAGCTCACGTAGACAGGGAGGCTGGGGTGGCCATCACGGGACGTGCTACATGAGAAGAGAACAGGACAGATGCAGAGAAAGGAAGAGGGAGGGGAACAAGAGAAGGGGAGAATACCCCCTGAAAAGAGTGGTTTTGGCTCCCGGCAACATTCCAGCTCCCATGAGACCTTGTGGTGCCTCCTTTCTTGTTTTTGCATCCCGGTGGCTCCTCTTGGTCTCCGAATCATCACACTCCCTACCACCACTTCCAGCAACTCCCCTTCCAAACTACCACCACCTCTATAAGTGGGCTGGCCCGGCTCTTTATTCCTGCCAACCATGAAGGTGAATGCCTGAAAAAAAACATCAAACTCTATCTGGGATTTCCTTTAAAGCCACCCAACCAAGAGAAATGCAAAGTGCCAAGAAAGAAGAAAAGGAATATAAGTTTAAAAAAAAAAAAAAAAAGAAGGAAATAATCACAAACTGGATTAAGAGATCTGACCAAAATTTAACCAACTTTTGTTCAATTTAAACTTTTAAAGTCACATTTAAGCTAAAAAATGTACACCAGGATAAAAAGAAAGAATGAAAGAGGACAACACCAAGACAGAACAGGAAAAGACTAGCATTTTTAAGAAGTGCAATAGTAAACAAACAAACAAAAACTAGAGAGAACTCAGACATTCTTTCTGAAAGAAGAAATGCCAGATGCCAGGAGGGGACACCTACTATGTGTTACTGGCTTTACACATTATCTTGTTGGAGTCTCACAACCAGTCCTATTTTACAGGGGCACAAATAATTCAAAATAGTTAAGTTAACCCGCCAAAGTTAGAAAGCAAAAAAAAAAAAAAATCAAACAAACAAACAAACAAATCCTACATCTGGCTGGCTCCAGAGCTGATGCTCTGAAGGAAGACTGAAGGAAAAGTGTCTGTCCCACGGTCTCTAGTCAGGCAGGTGTTAGAAGAGGCTCACTGGCACTGAGATGAAGGGCTCTGAGAGGGACTGAGCTTTGGCAGGTCATCCCACCTGAAAGTCCCAGCAGCAAAGGGTTGAAAATTCTGTTCTGTCAAATATTTGCAATTGTTGGGACTTTCCATAGAGCTGGATCTTTTACAAAGCAAATTCTGGCCTAAGACATGATTACCAAGAGAGACAGCTGTAGGGTGGGGCTTGAATGTAGCCTCATCTGAGGTCAGCACTGAGCAAACAAGATCAGGCAAAAAGGATGCATCTTGTAAAAAGCCTTGGTGAGATTTATCAAAGGAGGAAACTGTCAATGAGAACAGCCCAACCGCGGCGGACAATTTATAGTGCCTAGATGTAGGACAAGCATCAGTGATGGTGTCCTTGCTTTCCAGGCGTTGGAAGGAAAGACCTTATCTAGCACAATTAAGAAAACAGTTCAGCTACAGCGTTTGAAACAAAGGTGCACATGACTTCATTGAAGCTGTCTCAAGAGGCTTTGAAGCACAAAGCATTTTTTTAACCCCTCTCCAAAAAATGATGACATTCAGTGAGATCTTCCTACTCTAAAAGGAAATACATCTGAGAGCAGATGGGCAGGAGTGAGTTATGCTAGATTAAGTATGGCAAGCCCAAGTAAGGCAAAAATTAGAACTTGGAAATCCTGACTCCCAGGTGAGGGGTTTGCACTTTGGTGCCCTTGTTTTACAACACCCATGGAGTCTTGTATTATCTCTTCCTTATTCATTCACTGGTCACATATATATTGAGATATATATATCTGAGATACAAAGGACACTTTGCCAAGGGCTAGAAAATTCAAAGAAGGCGAAAACTTAGAACTTGAGGGCTGATATTATGTGCAGAAATACTACATCTAAATTCTCCATCATAGGACTGGGAAAATAGAAATGATTTTATTTACAAGTATATTAAGTGCTGCTTGAACATAGGAAGAGAACCACTGTGTTCTTGAGAGGGCAAAGAATAAGTAGATGTTTCATGGGGAGAAGAAAAGTAGATTCCAAGTAACAGAAACAGTCTATGCATGATTTTGAAAACAAGAAAGAGCAGGTGTGTTTGAAAAATAGCAAATAACCCTGTATGCCGGATTGGTGGGTCAAGATTAGAAAAGCTGTCAAGAGTCAAATCATGGAAACTTGCGTATGCTAACATAAGGTTAGAATTAATGCTGTAGATGTTGCAATTCTATAAACAGATTTTAGAAG